TGATAGATTCAGCACCAGGCCAGTTGATGAGCGGGTGTGGGAGTCCAAATGGCTGAGCTAGCAGACTCCCTATAAATAAACATGTAAACTTCCAGACAGAGTGATAGAACAGATAGTGAACTATAACTTCCCTCTGTCTCCCAATCTTTCTCTCTTCTTCCTCTCTCTTTCTGTCAACCCTGTCTTCAGTACCGTTATAACACTGCTGTTACACAGTAATACCCACCACTAGGGTAGAAGTCCCTAGCTGTTTCCATTACTCTTTCTCTATAACACTGCTGATACACATTTATACCCACCACTAGGGTAGAAGTCCATAGCTGTTTCCATTACCCTTTCTCTATAACACTGCTGATGCACAGTTATACCCACCACTAGGGTAGACGTCCCTAGCTGTTTCCATTACCCTTTCTCTACAACACTGCTGATACACAGTTATACCCACTACTAGGGTAGAAGTCCATAGCTGTTTTCATTGCCCTTTCTCTATAACCCTGCTGATACACAGTTATCCCCACCACTAGGGTAGAAGTCCCTAGCTGTTTTCATTGCCCTTTCTCTATAACCCTGCTGATCCACAGTTATACCCACCTCTAGGGTAGAAGTCCCTAGCTGTTTTCATTGCCCTTTCTCTATAACCCTGCTGATACACAGTTATCCCCACCACTAGGGTAGAAGTCCCTAGCTGCTTCCATTACCCTTTCTCTATAACACTGCTGTTCCACAGTTATACCCACCACTAGGGTAGAAGTCCATAGCTGTTTTCATTGCCCTTTCTCTATAACACTGCTGATCCACGGTTATCCCCACCACTAGAGTAGAACTCCCTAGCTGTCTCCATCCCCCTTTCTCTATAACACTGCTGATACAAAGTTATACCCACCACTAGGGTAGAAGTCCCCAGCTGTTTCCATCACCCTTTCTCTATAACACTGCTGATACCCAGTTATACCCACCACTAGGGTAGAAGTCCCTGGCTGTTTCCATTACCCTTTCTCTATAACTTTGCTGATGCACAGTTATACCCACCACTAGGGTGGAAGTCCCTAGCTGTTTCCATTACCCATTCTCTATAACACTGCTGATACACAGTTAGAGCCACCACTAGGGTAGAAGTCCCTAGCTGCTTCCATTACCCTTTCTCTATAACACTGCTGTTCCACAGTTATACCCACCACTAGGGTAGAAGTCCATAGCTGTTTTCATTGCCCTTTCTCTATAACCCTGCTGATCCACAGTTATACCCACCTCTAGGGTAGAAGTCCCTAGCTGTTTTCATTGCCCTTTCTCTATAACCCTGCTGATCCACAGTTATACCCACCTCTAGGGTAGAAGTCCCTAGCTGTTTTCATTGCCCTTTCTCTATAACCCTGCTGATACACAGTTATCCCCACCACTAGGGTAGAAGTCCCTAGCTGCTTCCATTACCCTTTCTCTATAACACTGCTGTTCCACAGTTATACCCACCACTAGGGTAGAAGTCCCTGGCTGTTTCCATTACCCTTTCTCTATAACTTTGCTGATGCACAGTTATACCCACCACTAGGGTAGAAGTCCCTGGCTGTTTCCATTACCCTTTCTCTATAACCCTGCTGATACACAGTTATACCCACCACTAGAGTAGAAGTCCCTAGCTGTTTCCATCACCTTTCTCTATAACACTGCTGATACACAGTTATTCCCACCACTAGGGTAGAAGTCCCTAGCTGCTTCCATTACCCTTTCTCTATAACACTGCTGATACCCAGTTATACCCACCTCTAGGGTAGAAGTCCCTAGCTGTTTTCATTGCCCTTTCTCTATAACACTGCTGATCCGCAGTTATACCCACCACTAGGGTAGAAGTCCATAGCTGTTTTCATTGCCCTTTCTCTATAACACGGCTTATACACAGTAATACCTACCACTAGGGTAGAAGTCCCTAGCTGTTTCCGTCACCCTTTCTCTATAACACTGCTGATACACAGTTATAGCCACCACTAGGGTAGAAGTCCCTAGCTGTTTCCGTCACCCTTTCTCTATAACACTGCTGATACCCAGTTATACCCACCTCTAGGGTAGAAGTCCCTAGCTGTTTTCATTGCCCTTTCTCTATAACACTGCTGATACAAAGTTATACCCACCACTAGGGTAGAAGTCCCTGGCTGTTTCCATTACCCTTTCTCTATAACCCTGCTGATACACAGTTATCCCCACCACTAGGGTAGAAGTCCCCAGCTGTTTCCATCACCCTTTCTCTATAACACTGCTGATACCCAGTTATACCCACCACTAGAGTAGAAGCCCCTAGCTGTTTCCAATCACAACACCTATTCCAGGCCAGCATGAATTTAGCCCAGCTGTTTCCATCACCCTTTCTCTATAACACTGCTGCTACACAGTTATACCCACCCCTAGGGTAGAAGTCCCTAGCTGTTTCCGTCACCCTTTCTCTATAACACTGCTGATACACGGTAATCCCCACCACTAGGGTAGAAGTCCCTAGCTGTTTTCATTGCCCTTTCTCTATAACCCTGCTGATACACAGTTATCCCCACCACTAGAGTAGAAGCCCCTAGCTGTTTCCACTCACAACACCTATTCCAGGCCAGCATGAATTTAGCTAGTATTTGAACATCAATATACTGGTAAATATTGCTGGCTATCAGCCTACCAACAACAGACCCTATTGTTCAATATCCTTATAGTATCATAGCAGGTTAATATTGTTTCTGTCACCATGACAACCATTGTACCAGCATGACAGAGTGGCAGTGATGTGTTTATTCATCGCCCTGACAACGAGGAGTTTTCTCAAACAAACCGGTCTCCACAGTGATGGCATGTTTACTTATAACTCCCACATGACTCACTGGATGATGTACCGAAGTTTAACCACTGGTAGAAATATCAATACAGATGCTGAATTTCACATCTATTGACCAAATGTTTCATTCCAAAATTAAATGAAATAAAAGCACATCTTGAGGGGAAGATTCTTTTAAAATGAAGGCATCACAATATTGAAATGTTTCTATCAATAAAGATGACTTTCCCCTGATCTCCAGATGTATTAAGTTCAAAGCTTGCAAAAACTTAGTTCACAAAAGTAAAACTCGGACATTTGTTAAGCCAGGGTTTTTCCAATGTTTTTCGGAAATTGATACTTTCCTAGAGTTCAACAAATTGGTGGCATAAGGAGCTGCCTAACAATGGTTTTTAACATTGTACGATTTTTAACTTTCTTTGGTTATATCATACAGAACATGATTACCGGAGATCTGAGATTTGAACGCTAGTTATTATAACTTTAAATAAAACATAACTAGCCTGTTACCAATTACAACTTTAAGTCAACTTATCTTGGCAGGCAGTCAAGTTTACCATGCAAATGTTCAACTTCATCAATGGAATTTGATTTTCCCTTTTGAAGTTGCTATAACCTTAAAGGAACATTTAAACCAAGCCGAGCTTTTATTGTTCTTGGTGCGGTTGATTTTATGATGCAAAGAAATGTCTCCAAGTGCAGGTATAACAAATCTCTCTAGCTTGTGTGCGTGTGTCACAACTGGAAATCTCTACAAACAGACACCCAGACCGTTATCTCAGATGTAGCTCGTAGTCTGTGTATTTCAATAAACAAAGTCCCAATGGAACGTCACAGTAAATTCTCTGTCAATAAACAGTGTTGGTGTGTGGTGTTTTTATTGGCCACTTATCATATTCCATCAATGCAGTCTGGTCTCCCTGACAAAGGTTGTGACCTTTTGTGCGAGGTCAACCAGGTCACAGTGATGACCTTTGTGAAAAGTTCAATGGAAACAAGTACTGTAAGCCATGCCGGTAAAATTACAAATATACACCTCTGTGGTATCCTGACCAACTCCTAGTTGTTTGCCGGTCCCCTGTACTGTATTATACTGGCTAAATATCAAACAGATTATCATGATCTTTTCTTGAAGCAAGATTTTCTTCTCATATATCCTTCCTATTTACCCTGTAATAAAAACATGTAATTTCTGACTCAAAGTGTAAGGAGGGGGGGGGGGGGGGGGNTTATTAAAGGAAAATGAAAGTTTGTTGGTATTTCTACTCAAAGGCAAAGTATATGGGTGGGCTTATTACCAGGCATGGGCTCATGACCACGTTAAAGTGGAATAGTTGATATACATGTGTGCAAATAAAACAATTGATCTGACATTATCTATCAATTCTGTCCCTGTGATAAACTATAACTACAAACTTGTCTGAACACTTGAGTTATATTCTAACATAGAGAGACTCTGATTCCGAACACTAGGGTTATGTTCTAACATGGAGCGACCCCGATTCCTGATTAGCACCTTCCATCACACTGATTTTCAAAAGCTGTCAAAAGCTGTAAATCCAATGTCAGACCCACCCAGATGTTAAATATTAGTCATGCCAAACAACAACCCTGAACAGTAAATCTAGCATAAACCCAGTACTGTACCAATGTTATCCCCATTCTGAAGACTACCCCTGGTCTTCCCCTCAGTAAAACGCCTTACTTAATGTCAGTATGTATTTTCTCAATCTCTTACTTTTTATTACACAAAGACATTTTGTTATTATTTTTTGGAATGCGACCGACCATAAACCAGGATTAGTGTATTTGCGATAATTAACACGGGAATAACTCCCTGTAGATTTTGGGATAAAGTCACTGATTACCTCCAGCAACGACACTCTCCTCCCCTTTCTTCGACAGACCCTCACCCTGGTCATTTTTGGGGTATATATATTTATCGTTGTTTTCTCATTGGGTTAACAAGCAGCTTTACTTACCCCAAATCATAAAACATTCCCAATCCTTCATATGGGTCACAATCAAAACGTGCCACTTATTTCTTTCTACCATTTTTTCAAATTAATGTAATAATTCCTAAACTCTAAAATGTCACTTTATTGTTTCCAAACATTGAAAAGGCCAGGCTACATTGAATACAGGAAGAAACAAATCACTGGGGCAAAACTGACTACGAAAAGTGACTACTCACCAATAGCAGTATTCAGGCCGGTTCCGAAAGCGATTCCCTTGCATTTTCCTGCTGAGATGTTTGTTCCCTGAAGTGCATTAGGATTAACATGAATATCAGAATAGTAAAGAATTGTTTGATGTTTGTTAAAAGCTAGCTATAAATATTATAGGGTTACAGCAGAATCCTTTTGTAGATGTATTTACCTTATAATCCTTTATTTTCACTTTAAAGCAGGTTAACAGCTTTAGTTACTGTAGAGGTACTATTGACTGTATAGCTGTTATCTTTACTGTATAGAGGTACTATAGACTGTATAGCTGTTATCTTTACTGTATAGAGGTACTATTGACTGTATAGCTGTTATCTTTACTGTATAGAGGTACTATTGACTGTATAGCTGTTATCTTTACTGTATAGAGGTACTATTGACTGTATAGCTGTTATCTTTACTGTATAGAGGTACTATTGACTGTATAGCTGTTATCTTTACTGTATAGAGGTACTATTGACTGTATAGCTGTTATCTTTACTGTATAGAGGTACTATTGACTGTATAGCTGTTATCTTTACTGTATAGAGGTACTATTGACTGTATAGCTGTTATCTTTACTGTATAGAGGTACTATTGACTGTATAGCTGTTATCTTTACTGTATAGAGGTACTATTGACTGTATAGCTGTTATCTTTACTGTATAGAGGTACTATTGACTGTATAGCTGTTATCTTTACTGTATAGAGGTACTATTGACTGTATAGCTGTTATCTTTACTGTATAGAGGTACTATTGACTGTATAGCTGTTATCTTTACTGTATAGAGGTACTATTGACTGTATAGCTGTTATCTTTACTGTATAGAGGTACTATTGACTGTATAGCTGTTATCTTTACTGTATAGAGGTACTATTGACTGTATAGCTGTTATCTTTACTGTATAGAGGTACTATTGACTGTATAGCTGTTATCTTTACTGTATAGAGGTACTATTGACTGTATAGCTGTTATCTTTACTGTATAGAGGTACTATTGACTGTATAGCTGTTATCTTTACTGTATAGAGGTACTATTGACTGTATAGCTGTTATCTTTACTGTATAGAGGTACTATTGACTGTATAGCTGTTATCTTTACTGTATAGAGGTACTATTGACTGTATAGCTGTTATCTTTACTGTATAGAGGTACTATTGACTGTATAGCTGTTATCTTTACTGTATAGAGGTACTATTGACTGTATAGCTGTTATCTTTACTGTATAGAGGTACTATTGACTGTATAGCTGTTATCTTTACTGTATAGAGGTACTATTGACTGTATAGCTGTTATCTTTACTGTATAGAGGTACTATTGACTGTATAGCTGTTATCTTTACTGTATAGAGGTACTATTGACTGTATAGCTGTTATCTTTACTGTATAGAGGTACTATTGACTGTATAGCTGTTATCTTTACTGTATAGAGGTACTATTGACTGTATAGCTGTTATCTTTACTGTATAGAGGTACTATTGACTGTATAGCTGTTATCTTTACTGTATAGAGGTACTATTGACTGTATAGCTGTTATCTTTACTGTATAGAGGTACTATTGACTGTATAGCTGTTATCTTTACTGTATAGAGGTACTATTGACTGTATAGCTGTTATCTTTACTGTATAGAGGTACTATTGACTGTATAGCTGTTATCTTTACTGTATAGAGGTACTATTGACTGTATAGCTGTTATCTTTACTGTATAGAGGTACTATTGACTGTATAGCTGTTATCTTTACTGTATAGAGGTACTATTGACTGTATAGCTGTTATCTTTACTGTATAGAGGTACTATTGACTGTATAGCTGTTATCTTTACTGTATAGAGGTACTATTGACTGTATAGCTGTTATCTTTACTGTATAGAGGTACTATTGACTGTATAGCTGTTATCTTTACTGTATAGAGGTACTATTGACTGTATAGCTGTTATCTTTACTGTATAGAGGTACTATTGACTGTATAGCTGTTATCTTTACTGTATAGAGGTACTATTGACTGTATAGCTGTTATCTTTACTGTATAGAGGTAATATTGACTGTATAGCTGTTATCTTTACTGTATAGAGGTACTATTGACTGTATAGCTGATATCTTTACTGTATAGAGGTACTATTGACTGTATGGCTGTTATCTTTACTGTATAGCTGATATCTTTACTGTATAGAGGTACTATTGACAGATTTGGTTAATAGCGTTACAGATTTGGTTAATAGCGTTACAGATTTGGTTAATAGCATTACAGATTTGGATAATAGCGCTACAGATTTGGTTAATAGCATTACATATATAATTAATAGTGTTACAGATTTGGTTAATAGCATTACATATATAATTAATAGCGTTACAGATTTGGATAATAGCGCTACAGATTTGGTTAATAGCGTTACATATATAATTAATAGCGTTACAGATTTGGTTAATAGCATTACATATATAATTAATAGAGTTACAGATTTGGTTAATAGCGTTACAGATTTGGATAATAGCATTACATATATAATTAATAGCGCTACAGATTTGGTTAATAGCTTTACATTTATAATTAATAGCGTTACAGATTTGGTTAATAGCGTTACAGATTTATCTACAACTGTATATGCACACTTCCAAAGTTTGATGCAACAAATCGTTTATTTATAGATTACCTATATGATTTATACGAACGCGTACCTTGAAACATTCCAGAGTACATTATTTATAGATTCCCTATATGATTTATACGAAAGCGTACCTTGAAACATTCCAGAGTACATTATTTATATATTACCTATATGATTTTTACGAAAGCGTACCTTGAAACATTCCAGAGGACATTATTTATAGATTACCTATATGATTTATACGAAAGCGTACCTTGAAACATTCCAGAGTACATTATTTATATATTACCTATATGATTTTTACGAAAGCGTACCTTGAAACATTCCAGAGTACATTATTTTGTAACTCTAACGTTCAAAATGTTTTTTTCTGAAACAAACTTTTACTTAAAACTATTAAAACAGTGCAAGTAAAATACTCCAGTGTCATGCTGTGTACATAATGCAGAGTGTGATCGTGTAGCTAATATACTTACAGAGAAGAGGATGTTTTTCTTGTCCTGGTTGACAGCCCGAGGGTCGGGGATGGGATCGGTGTGTTTGATCACGCTCACACTCTCTCCTGTACAATCAAACACAACGTCAAATCAGGAGAAAAACATTTAAATTCTGTAAAAACTTAATATAATCCTCATTTATTTGCCACTTTGCTCAATCTACACAAATTTCAAGTACCCCTTTTCCTTCCATTCTTTCTTAATTTGTTTAAAAAAATAACTTTCTCAATAACTTTTTTATTGACAAAATATTACTGAACAAGATCGCACTGTGATATATCATTTTACTAGAAGGCTGTATACATACCTGTAAGAATGGACTGGTCTATCCTAAGTGTTGTGGAATAAATGTGGAGGATACGAATATCTGCTGGAATTTTGTCTCCAACTGGAAAAGAAACAAGATAAATAGTAAGATTTATACATAACATGTAATAAATCCATAATTATAAACACCTATCAGAAATGATTTCAACTTATCTACTTGAATATCTGACACAGTGTGCATAGTCTATCCTGCTTTAAAGTACTGTATAGGCCTTACTATCAGACCCAACAAGTTGCACAACGACACCCAACTGAATTTAAACTGATGACACTTTACAGTCATTCAGAGACCACTTTCTGAAAGTCAATGAAGTCGTCTCGGAGCACAGGTAGACTCTAATACAGGTTGAGCCAGCTATATAGCATGAAAATAACTGTGGAGTTCTAAATGTGGTCTCTGAACACAGGTGGTCTCTAATACAGGTGGAGCCAGCTATATAGCATGAAAATAACTGTGGGGTTTTAAATATTGTCTCTGAATACAGATGGTATCTAATACAGGTTGGGCCATCTATATAGCATGAAAATAACTGTGGGGTTTTAAATATGGTCTCTGAACACAGGTGGTATCTAATACAGGTTGGGCCAGCTATATAGCATGAAAATAACTGAGGGGTTTTAAATGTGGTCTCTGAACACAGGTGGTATCTAATACGGGTTGGGCCATATTATTATAGCATGAAAATAACTGTGGGGTTTTAAATATTGTCTCTGAATACAGATGGTATCTAATACAGGGTTGGCCATCTATATAGCATGAAAATAACTGGGGGGTTTTAAATGTGGTCTCTGAATACAGGTGGTATCTAGTACAGGTTGGGCCATCTATATAGCATGAAAATATCTGTGGGGTTTTAAATATGGTCTCTGAACACAGGTTGTATCTAATACAGGTTGGGCCAGCTATATAGCATGAAAATAACTGGGGGTTTAAATGTGGTCTCTGAATACAGATGGTATCTAATACGGGTTGGGCCATCTTATAGCATGAAAATAACTGGGGGGTTTTAAATGTGGTCTCTGAATACAGGTGGTATCTAGTACAGGTTGGGCCATCTATATAGCATGAAAATATCTGTGGGGTTTTAAATATGGTCTCTGAACACAGGGGGTATCTAATACAGGTTGGGCCAGCTATATATCATGAAAATAACTGAGGGGTTTTAAATGTGGTCTCTGAACACAGGTGGGATCTAATACAGGTTGGGTCATCTTATAGCATGAAAATAACTGTGGGGTTTTAAATATGGTCTCTGAACCCAGGTGGTATCTAATACAGGTTGGGCCAGCTATATAGCATGAAAATAACTGGGGGTTTAAATGTGGTCTCTGAATACAGATGGTATCTAATACGGGTTGGGCCAGCTATATAGCATGAAAATAACTGAGGGGTTTTAAATGTGGTCTCTGAACAAAGGTGGTATCTAATACAGGTTGGGCCATCTATATATCATGAAAATAACTGAGGGGTTTTAAATGTGGTCTCTGAATACAGATGGTATCTAATACGGGTTGGGCCATCTTATAGCATGAAAATAACTGGGGGGTTTTAAATGTGGTCTCTGAATACAGGTGGTATCTAATACAGGTTGGGCCATCTATATATCATGAAAATAACTGAGGGGTTTTAAATGTGGTCTCTGAATACAGATAGTATCTAATACAGGTTGGGCCATCTATATAGCATGAAAATATCTGTGGGGTTTTAAATATGGTCTCTGAACACAGGTGGTATTTAATACAGGTTGGGCCAGCTATATAGCATGAAAATAACTGAGGGGTTTTAAATGTGGTCTCTGAACACAGGTGGTATCTAATACGGGTTGGGCCATCTTATTATAGCATGAAAATAACTGTGGGGTTTTAAATGTGGTCTCTGAACACAGGTGGTCTCATGCACAGTTAGGTCTCTTGAGCAGATTTTCCTGTAATGTTATTATTTTCACATACAGTCAGTGGGAGTTAAGAATTTGTTGATTCTGTTTAGAGTAACCCAAAATCCCACTCTCACAAACTACAGCCATTAACCACAATTATAGGTGACCCTAGTTACAGCTACTGAGACTGGATAACTGGGTACTTTGACCATGACCAGAAAACCTCCCCTAACACAATGATCACTGGATCATGAATTAATTAGAACCTTGAGATTCCAGCCACCTTCGTTCCTGGTAAAGTTGTTTGACTGTGATACAACCAGGTCACCGAGACAATTTTGTACAGAAAACGGCTCAACATTGGCTGGTTCAAAACCAGACTTCTGGAGGCTGGATCAACAAATTTGTTACTGTATAATATTTCTTGTCATGGATAAAACATACCGGAGATCTCGACAATGTCTCCAGGGACCAACAAACTGGCGCGGATCTTCTGTACTCCTCTTTGTCCCTTACGCACCACTTTTGCGATTTCTGGTTCATACTCTTTCAGCGCTTCAATAGCATCCTCTGCATTTTTTTCCTGAAACACATCAATATTTACGTTAAGTTAATGGCCTTAAACACATTGGCCAAAGAGTCACTTACAACTAACCCAAACACATTAGCAATCAGAGATGTCTACAAGTCCACTAACCCGATACCCAGGGCTAGCAGGTTACACAGGGCTCGCGCTGGCGGTCACCACTGGCGCCAAAGGCGAAAGTAAAACATGATTGGCGGTTTGAAACTGCTCTTGGCTAAAAAGGCTGATGAGGGAGTTTAGTTTAAGTTACTGTCGACAATAGAAAAACCTTTGGCGATAACTGTTGTTAGAGCAATAGCAGTGTTCTGTCCCTGACATCGCTGGACTAGAACGTAACGGAGGACTGCATTTACGATAAATGGCAAGGTCAGGTATTGGAACTCTTTTGTTTTTTAACAAAAGGTCAACTGTCAACACAACGACACCGTCTGAAATCAAAATCGCCAATTATCCAATTATAGCTACATTGTCTTGTTCAGATGGGTGATCTGCAGAGAACAATGAGGTAAGTTAGGGTAGGGAAAAGGGTTGTTTTAATTTGATTACAGTAGAAAAGATCAGTCCTGTGAAGTGATGCCTGGCAATAACGAGGCATGTGCACGGGTGTGTTTACATTAGACGCAGTCAGGATATTTTTAATGACTTTCTCTTCAATTTTGATAAACAATAACAATATCCATTTACCAGGCCCCTTAAAACGACATAATCCACTTGAATTGTGTTATTCTTGCACAATGCTCGAGACGACAATTTGCTGATATTTTGTTTTCAGTCGCCGATATTCATTTTTCTTACAAGATGTGAACAAGAGGCCCATAGGGCCTGTATCACTCACCTGGATATCTAAGCAATCATGGCAGAATATTCTCCAAATGAGATCCAAGGGAATATGCCAGACCCCAAGGCCAATCCTTGTAGCATATATATCTGTATTCAATTTTCCATGCCCACCAATTTTATGTATGGTTATGGGGTGGGGATCTCAACTGTTTCCAAGCTGTGACTCAGAAACTAGGTCCCTACGGTTGTGGCCAGACCCCATTATCATTTCTAATATCATGACTGCATTTGTCTCTTTTTGCCCAGCATTTGTATATATAGTTTTGGGGTGGGGATTTCAACCGTTTCAAAGTTATGACCCAGGGGTTAAGTCTGCAAGGGTGGGGCAA